GGAGGTGATGTCCACACAGTAGTCTGCAGTGGAACACACAGAAATGCTAAGGTATGGTTTTTGCAGTGTCTGACCTCTAAAATTATGGCATCCAAGGTTCTAGCTGAGAAAACAAAACAAAACCAATGAACCAACCAAACAAAAACTGAACATACTCCCAAAACCCAAACCACAGATTTCTAGTACTACTAATTTAGGTTTCCCAGCATCCTGTGAACTGTATCCATTGTGTGTCACAGCACACCTCCATCAAAGTAACTTACTTGCAGGATCTTCAAAATAATATTCTTATCAACACATGCATGCAGACAGTAATTGTACTACACTGAGTCTGAGGCACAAGGAATTATTTGAGATTGTCTTATTGTTTGGTTCTGCTATCTGGTGAACTGTGGAAACACAGTGGGAAAAATAGCTTTTAAGGTCCTACAGCTCTCTCAGGTGCTGCTGCATAAGCATGTATCATATTTCCATCATCACAGCCATAAACAGCAGGTGAAGTGCAAACTGTTTAGTGCAAACAACACACTCCCAGGATAGCTCAGTAGTTGAATGCAATCAGCTACTGCATGAGAAACAGTTTGTTGACTCGCTCTGAAAAAGAGCTGGTACTGCAGGACAGTAGACAAATATTGACAGGAGAAAAATATTGAGAGTTGGTAAACACTTTCTCTGATTTATACCCAGTGCTAATCAGTTCAGTCTCTTCCATGGAAATATGCTTTGATTTCTCGCTAATCTTGTCTCATATAGTCAAAGCAATGACAGAAGTTCCCTTGCCATCACTACCTAGTTGTAAAGCTGTGTCTTCATAGCAGATGATGACCTACTCTATCTTTCTTGCTTACCTTCTTAAATCAGTCTTCCCATCTTCTTGGGAAGACAGTGCATTATGAACATGCCATGTTTATTTCAGTGCTTGCAAAATTCCGAACACCCTGCTCAACACCACAAATTAGGAAAGGAAATGAAGCCTGCTTTCTTCTCTGGCTTTTAAGTGAAAAGTGATTTAGCAGCACTGTGCTTCACAGGCTGGTTATAGGTTATATGAAATATTGTTCCACCACAATTAATATGGCAAAGAACTTTGCTTATTTAACATTCCACTGCAGAAATAAAAAGTGTCTGTTGGAGATGGTATGAAAAACACATGTGCCCAGTAATATTTTCCTCAGAAACCAGTAAAATTACCACCATCCTCACCTCGCCTTCCCTAATCTAAACACAGATAACATTTACTGAAAAAGTCTCCTCTACAGAGAAAAACTCGGACTCACAAATCTAGAGTTCAGTTAATATAATCTATTTTATTTGCACAGACTGTTGACCAAAAGGTCCTAAAGAAACTACGCTGCTGTGAGATGAGAAAGTAGATCCTTTTGCAGGTAAATGGTTTGAAACACTAGGCCACTAAAAACGGCTGCTCATTTTTCTGAATGGAACTATATGACCCACAGAATCCTGCAGGGTTCCATGCAGGGTTCTGAATTCTTTCATGTCTTTAAACCTCACCTACAAAAAGCCGGGATTAACGAAGTGACAGCATTTGCTAATGATTATTTACTCATGATAATGCAGTGTACTAAAGGCAGCCACAAAAAGATGAAAAAGAATGTCACAAGCCAGAAATGTTTAAAATCACTAACAAAGTGAATTTCAGTCTTAATAATGTCACATGTTTTTGACTTTGCATACACAGGAGGAGCTGTGAGACATCTAATCATTCTGGAGACAAAACAGTTCAACGGTCACATCAACAAAGAAGCAGCTGCAAAGAAAGAAATGATAGGATCTAGTAGAGGTGGAATAGAACAGAACACAGAAATTCATTATACCACATGCATGAAGCACATGCATACTACATGCATTTCTGATCCTCTGAAAAGTTACACACTTGTCTTCTGTTCTCCCACTTGCCAAAACCTATGATTACTTAGAAATAATGATGACTTAGAAACAATCAGCTGCATTGAGCAATGGACTCTACTCAAAGTACAAATACTAATTAGACTGGGATTCCTTGGAGTGGCCAAAAAGCAAAAATATCAAACAAATAAAACCCCAATAAAACCAAAAAATACAAAGCAGCACAGAATAAAGCACAGTGGAGGAAGTAGTTCAAAGATTTAAACAATCATGAAGTGGATGGAGAGAATGGACAAGGATCAATTTTTAACCTGTAACTTTCAATATAACCAACAAGCAAGTTTTAGGAGAGTTTCAATATAAAAAGGTATCACTGGAAGATTATTCTACAAGATCATATGAAAAAAAACAGTTTTGTGTTAGAAGTTCCTGATTCCTAGACTGTTCTGAAAAGATAATACTGAATGTACATATTATCTTACATATTTTCTAAGGTACCTCATCCTGACTCCAGCTGAACAAAGGTTAGACTTCTGAACTAACCCAAACTATTCTAAAGAAATCTTTCCAAGGCAGGCATTTCTTGCTTTATAGTGAGAATGATAGAACAGATAAATACATTAACAACATTGTTTAGTATGGTCTAACTGGTGGTCCATGGGTCAAATAAAGTCCACATATGCTTGCCAGCTCAACAGCTTTGACTCACCCAGTCCAGGAAATAATTTTGTTCTGCAAATTCCGTCTAATAGACAAACTGCTCTTCAGGAGCCTGCTGTGGTTAGAAAGGCGGTAGCTGTTGCTTTTGACCACAGGAAAAATTGCTGCTGCAATACACAGAAGAGTTTATGCAGTCCACAGATTCATAGGGAAAGGCAAAAATGTCCCAAATGCCTTGTTTGGCCTTTGCCATTTCCTGATACTTCAATGGAAGCAAACAGATATACTATTGTTTTAAGTATGAAATAAGAAAATTACTATGAAATTTTTTCCCGTTTCTTTGCTCTCCAGTGACTTTCCTCCTTCTGCCTTTTCCCAGCCTCAGTTTCTTGCTGGTTTTCTTCCTCAGCAAGAGAAATGACAAGTGTTCACAGCTTCTTTCCACTTTCATTATATTGATACCTGTATATAGCACAGTATGTTGGTACCTGTCACACTCATGTACATTGATTTCCATACTCAAAATCTGATTTTGAAGATTTTCAAAGAAACACCCCAGAATTTATGAATCTAAGAAAATTATTTTAGGACATGAAAATAATTTAAATCAGTGCTTCTTCATTTTTTTTTTTTTCATATATAAGAATATCCTCATAAAGTAAACAGACTTCTATGCTGAATTAATCTAGCTAGCTTTTTTTCCCACTTATTTTATTGCATTAAATCTAAATCTTTGAATCTTTTGAATCTGAATGGGAAAAAAATTTAATTGGAAAAAGCCTCCTTCTGCAAAGCTGCTTATTTTAACCAAAATAATCAAATCTTGACATCATTTTATTTAATGTAAGGCATAATACTTGACACTTGCTAAGAATTGTGATTTTTATCTCATGTTAAGATGCCCTCAGGAAAAATAGAAGCTGGGACAGAACCTATTCAAGATTTCTGTGACCAACTCCTTAACTTTTGAAAGCCAAGAGGTCACTTTGACACGTTCAAGAATACTGTCTTTCATGAAACAATTACTTGGGCACACTGAAATGATGACTTGGGGAAAAAAAAATCACAATTAACGAAGTGCAACAACCATTTCCCATTCTACTGATTTTTACTTAAGGAGGCATTGTCCAAATGCAAACTGCAACCAAAGTTAAACCTTTTAAAGGTTTTACAAACTTTTAAGAAGATTTTTCTTTAAAGAAAAACAAAAAAACCCTTCTTTCCTTCTTTTTGATGGAAAAGCCTGCAAGACAAAGTCAATGAGAACAGTGAAAATGACTGTACAAAAAAAGGAACGTAAATGTAAATTTGGAAAAGAAAACAGATGTGCACTTTCTTTAGCACCAGAAAATAAATCACTTAATTTTCAACAGCAGCAGGAGCCTTATGAAAATATTCTTATTTTCTATCTGCTAATACCCCTCAATCCTAATTTGACATGAACAAAGGTCATGTAAATGTCCTGTGATATAGGACAAAAAACTGCACTTTGTGCAGCAAGCACATGACTATCATTTCTCAAAAGACCATGCGAGGCAACCATCTTTTCCATTTCATGCTGAAATTCAGCTCCATTCTCTTTACCACAACGTACACTCCTACAATTTCAGCGCTTGCTATTAAATGTTGTCCTTTAGAAAAATGAAGAGGCCAGAATCAAAGCATTTATGTTCATTTGTCTAGTCCACCTAGAATTGACTACAAACCTTCTTTCACACCGGTTTTCTGGGGTCCATTTAGAACTACTGTTCATTGTGGAGTAAAGAAGTAATCCCGTTTTAAAACCTTTTGACGGCACCTGGTACCTGTCTCACCTGTCCTACAACGTGTAGTAGTGACACACCTTTTTATAAAGCTACAATGAGCAGTGTAGGTCTTGCTTCTGTACAGCCTGCTGCTGAGCCCACTGTTACAGCCGTATTGCTCAATCCATTGTGTTCCTGCCCATTTCTCTTGCAGTGAGTCTGACTCCGTGCAAAGAGTACCAAAAGGAGAGCTCGCCTCGCCTCGCCCATCCTGCCCCCCTGGAAGCCGTGCATAACGGAGCTCACGGCAGGGAGGGCGGGCTGCGGGCGCCGCTCCAGAAGCTGAGGCAATAAACCCCACAGGCAGTGAGGTTTCCTACCCCACTGTCCGCCCGGCGCCTCGGAACGCGCCCCGTACGCCCGAGGCAGCTCCCCCTAGGCCCAGGAGCCAGGCCCGGCTCCTCGAGTGAGGAACGAGAACCTCTCGTTAGTCGCGGGCGGCTCCGGCCTCTCCCGGCTTCCAGTCCAGCCGGGTGGCCCCTGCCCCCACCGCCCCCCCGCCGAACACCGCGCTCGCCCCCCCCCCCCCCCCCCCCCCC